GAAAAAGGGTATTTTTGTCAAGTTTAGTATAAAGTGGCTAAATTCTAATCACTTACAATATTTGGACTTATGGATGGTTGTTACATATCATTTCATAATGTATCGTATCGTATTATATTGTATCGTTTGATGAATATAATGTTTGGATAAATTATGTCGTTTGACTTCGTTTCATGATATCACACACTAGCAATATGAAGAATAAACTTAAAATATTTTAAAGAAAAACTATTGATACAAGATAAAACTACTATATAAAAGGTAGGATAAATAATAAAATAAAATTATTTAACAATAATTAAGGGTGAGATTGAGAAGGAAAAATAAGGTAACGACCACACCAAATCGGTCGTTACATAAAATGATATATTTCGTCGTTACGTAACGATAAATTTAACAATACGATGCAATAAATTTAAGTAACAATTAAAATAAATATAGTATTTAAACTAAAGTAACAATAAGATACAATATAACAAGCATCTAAACAAGTTGTAATCCTATAATTACCGGGAAAAAACGTAGCTATTTAAACCTACCGCAAACATAAGGGGCAATATTTGTCATTTTTTCCATTCCTACAGCTATAGTTGGTGCTCGCTGACACACCTCGAAGAAGCGTAGTTTCCATGGCTGCTCGCTCCATTTTCGTCACTCTCACAAGGTATTCACCTCCACCCTCTTATTCTCTCCATATTTCTGCACTTATATTGTTTTTTCTTAAACTTACCTGATTCGTTTTTTTTCTGTTGGGAAATTCAGAAAAGCTGGTGGCAGAGAAAGGAGTCTATTCAGATCTTTTAGTTCAACAACTGAAGTTATCTATGAAGACTCCTCCTCTAACACTGGGGAGGAAGAAAAGGGTGAAACGGGAGATGATTTAAAGAGCAGAATATTCAGTCTTAGAGTGCCCAAAAGAAGCGCCACCAACGTGCTTCAGAAATGGGTCACTGAAGGCCGACAAGTCTCCATCTCTGACCTCCGTCACATCTCCAAACAACTCCGCAACTCACGCAGATTCAAGCACGCCCTCGAGGTTCTTTTTTTCTNCGTTATCTTTTACTTCCAGGTATAAACATAGAGATGTGGACAAAATGAGTGTTTTAGATATGTGGATGTTAAAATAGCTACTTAATCATACAAGACTAGTCAATTAGAAATGATCAAATTTGACAGGAGGCACATGTAGCACTTATAGAGGGCAAACTAAAAGAATGCTGTTTGTGATAATTTTACCCTGTTCTATGTAGACCTCATTTGCACCGACAGAAATGCAACACTCATGATCAGAGGAAGGGAACAAAGTAGAACTAAAATAATACTCCCTTCGTTTCAATTTATGTGAACCTATTTGACTGGTAACTGAATTTAAGAAAAAAGAGAAGACTTTTGAACTTATGCTGTAAAATGAGGCACATATATTTTGTGTGCTTATAAATCATTGCATAAAAATAAATTGTTTCCAAATAAAGTGGGCCATTCTTTTTGGCATGGATTAAAAAGGAAATAGGTTCACATAAATTGAAACGGAAGGAATATGAATGAGAGCATCTTAGGTCTAGCTTACTTGTCAATGAAATTGGAATGAAGATCATGGGAGACCAGCATCACAATACCAGTAAAGCCAAAAAGGTTAGCTGATTACTTTCAATTTGTCTAAGTTTTAATAGGTGAAGTTACCAAGTACCTGTACTAGTTAAAGGATATGTGTACCCAATTGAATAGTCGAGATGCATGCAATCTAGCATAACTCTAGTGATATCACAAAACATGAAGAGTTGCCTCAAAAGACCTGCATTCTCTGGAAAGCAATGCAGACAAAACTAGGAGCAGGACGCAATGGAAGCGAATGATCCATATAGGCTATACCAATTGGTTAGGATTAAGACTTAATTGTTGTTGTTGCACTTATACGGTTCCGGTGTTTGCCAAGTTTTTTTTTATTTTTATTTGCATTGGAATGAAATGGATATAGAGCGGAACGTTCAGAGAGGATCATAAAGCCATCCCACTAGTTTGGTAGTGAAGGCTAGTTAGCGATTGATTGCGATAGATTCATCGAAGCAATGATAACAACTGCTTTGGTCAAGAACTGGTACAACTTTGTTGTTTTTAGTTTAAAAAGTGAGATTCATCTAAAAGCCAGTGGATGACAGTGATGGATCAGTGAGTTTGCTTTATACTTTATCTGCTATTTCACTTCCAGTTTTAGGAACAGGTTAAAAATAGAGCCAAAATTGGTTAAGTAAAGAACTGTAAATCTAGTTCAGAGATTTTTTTTTTTTTAATATGTGCACGACATATCCTCAGCTTTTTCCTTTACTCTCTTTGCTTATGTTCTGATGTCTGAAATTTCAACTAGTTCAGAGGGTTTTCCCCTTCTTTCCCTTCCCACCATAAATTCCCAGAATAAAAACCTCTGCTGTGTGAAGATTAGTTATACTGACACTATGTCATATTACAGTTTTGTTCAGTTAACTTTCAGGAAATTTCCGAGGTAAGTCTCTAGTTGGCCACAAGACGGAGAACATTGAGTTTTTTTAAATTGTATTTTGAAGAAGAAAAGACCATGAAATTTTTAATTCCATGAATATATCTGAACATGTTAGCCATTTTGCTTTGGAAAACTTGTAGGTAGGAGATAGTTGTTTCACCTTGCAATCATTCATTTTATAACTACTGGAAGTAATCACATCTGTAGCTGCCCAAACTACCTGAGAATCAAATTCTGCCTAGAGTTCTTTATACTCTTTGACGTGTCTGTAAAACAACACCAGTTCCAAGAAATGTGTTAATCCTTAGGGAACCTTTGGTGCTCCAATCGGATTAGGTAGGGATGCATTGCCATTGAATTAGGAATAGTTCTGTAGTGTACCTGGATTAGGGATGAGGACTGTTATGTAAGGAATTTATACGAACTGGAGTTGTATTTGCTAGGTTATGCAGTCCTCTTCCCTGGCCTGACAGTTGTCAAAGGGAACCTGAGACCTCACTTCGCTTTTATCCCATTTAGAATCCAGACACTAAATGAGAACTGCTAATTTAATATAAATGTCCTTATTTGTTGCATAATTACTGATTTGCATCCTATAGCATTGCAGATCTCAGAATGGCTGGTTTACCACAATCAGGATGAAGCAGTGGACTCCGACTATGCCACCCGCATTGACTTGATGACCAAAGTTTTTGGAATTGATTCTGCTGAACGCTATTTTGAAGGACTTCCTACCACTGTAAAAACTACTGAAACATATACTGCTCTCCTCCACTCCTATGCTAGTTTGGGATTAACTGACAAAGCTGAGGGCCTCTTTGAAAGAATGAAAGAAGCAAATATTTCTCTGAGCACTATCACTTATAATGAGATGATGACTTTGTACATGTCTGTTGGACAGCTAGAGAAAGTACCTCTTATTGTTGAGGAGATGAAACTTCAAAAGGTTGCACCAGACCTATTTACTTATAATCTGTGGGTAAGTTCATGTGCTGCAGCTCTAAACATTGATGAGGTGAGACGGATTCTTGATGAAATAAGTCTTGGCTGTGACTCTGGTGAACATTGGTTAAGATATAGGAATCTTGTTAAAATATATATCACCTCAGGTAACCTTGTAAACTCAGGATCAAACTCTGTAGTTGAATCTGAGAAGGGTATCACACAAAGAGAATGGATATCATATGACTTTCTTATTATTCTCTATGGTGCATTGGGAAATAAAGACAAGCTTGATCAAATTTGGAAATCCTTACGGATGACTAATCAAAAAATGACTAGCAGAAATTATGTTTGCATACTCTCCTCATATCTCATGCTTGGACATATGAAGGAAGTTGGAGAAATTATTGATCAGTGGAAGCAATCTGCTGCGACAGATTTTGATAGCTCCAGCTGCAATAGACTTCTAAAGGCTTATAGCGAAGTTGGGTTGGACGAGAGAGCTGCAGCTTTCCAATTGCTTCTAATTCAGAAAGGCTGTGACCTTATAGATGAATCACAGTAGCATGACCATGAGATCAAACATATTAATTTGAGAATGCTTGCAAGTATTTGTATGCAGCAGCATTCAGAGACAATAATCATGGCCGAAAGAGTTGTACTTTTTTTTATACTAATTAATTTTGTTTCTAGATAGATTGGCAGTTCATTGTAGGCTATTTGCTGTTGGGTTGTGCCTTTAGCCGAGACTGGTTCATAAAAGTTCTGCAATTATTCTAGACTTGTTTAGTCTATTTAGCCAGACTTATGTGTATTTATTTGGAATAACTGACCTGATGGGCATCCTTACTAAGTGATTGTGTAGTTTGCTCTTGGTTCAAAACGTACTAATATGAATTCGATATTGTTGAAACTCTTCTTCCGAGGGGTCTTTTGTTTTTTGTGTGCTTGGGAGGCATCACTCATCAACTATTAACACCCTTCATCCTCTTGATATCAGTTAAATTAAAAAGAACATGAAAGTTTGTGAAGATTTCGTGAACCATATGTAATTTCGTTGACTAAAATAACAACAATAATAATAACAACTGTTGTTGATGGGGTGACAACAGGACGGGGTTAGTGCATTAGATTCTAGAAGCTGCATTGTAATTAAGTGGGGAATCAGGTATATTTTTACTAATTCAAAATGGTGGCTGTGATTTGCACTTTACACAGTCCAAACCCAAATTCTTGGGAAATTGTAGTAGTACAGTAATAAATTTATGGTTAAACTGTGCTAAACTCCTATAGTACTTTTCATTAGTGGCATCTCTTCTTTTATTTCTTTTTTGGATAGTCATAAAATTCTGTTTCCTTTTCATCCCTTTAAATCTAATGGTGGCAAAATTAGGTTCATATCCTCGCATTACCCACGTTCCTCCTGCACAAGGAATGCATGTATACATACTTCTATTTTTGTGTCTTTTCTCAGTACTCAAATCCATTATCGTCAACAAATATCTCCATTTTCAATCTTCATTAAAGCTTCACATTTAATACCTTTCCTTTTACTATGCCAAAAATGACCAGATCAGTAGGCTTATCACAACAAGAAAGAACCATCAGTAACCACAAGTATAAGCCTTACCATCCCAAACAACATTCTAAGACAAATTCACTCTTTTCACTCTACTCACCAAAATTCTCCATCTATCTCCTAATCACTTGTGCCATTATTTTCATTCTTTTCCAAATTCAATCTTTACAAACCCCACCTTCTTCTCCTTTCTCATCTCTCTTGCCATCATGGACATTCTTGAATCAATGGCAAAAAGTCATCATCAACACAAGTACAAGCATATCAACTTTCAATCATGATCACAACTGCAACAATGATCAAGATAATCTCACCAAATCAATGGCCGTGAAACTCCGCGAGTCAGTTACTTTTCTTCCTCTGAAAGACTTACGTTACTCCTCCACAGCTCAACAAGGACACACATGGTTCATGAGTTCCATGTATGACACACATGAAGAAGGTGAAGTCCAATATCAAAGATTCCCTTCAAATGCATCAAAAGGTAGAGTTTTGTGCCTTAAAGGTAATGACACTCATGATGGTGCATGGAATTACTATGCACTAGCATGGCCTGAAACATTGCCTTACAATTCCACCTTAAAAAAAGGTCTCACATTTGTATCTTACAATCACTATAATTATGATAACATTTGGCATGGCTTGTCAGCTATGGTACCATTTGTAGCATGGCATATTAAAAACCAATGTTCACTTGTTCCACCTAGATGGATTTTGTACCATTGGGGTGAACTTAGGATTAAAATGGGACCTTGGTTGAAATCTTTAATGGAAGCTACATTTGGTGAACCACTTCATATTGAAACAAATTATGGAAATCAAGAATCTGAAAACAATATGATTGCTTCTTGTTTTGAGGATGCTGTGGTGATGAGACATAATGAAGGGGGCATGTCTAGACAGAAAAGGATACAAGTATATGATTTACTAAGGTGTAAGGCCAGAATTTACTGTAATGTGAGCTTAGAAGGTAGGTTGTCGGAGGTGAACGAAGGGGGATTGCCGGTGGTCGGAATGACAATGTATATGAGGACTGGACCAAGATCTTTCAGGAATGAATCAGTTGTGATTAAAATCTTTGAAAAGGAATGTCAGAAGGTGGAGGGCTGCAGATTCATAGTTGCTTACTCCAGTAATCTCACTTTTTGTGAACAGGTAAACTCTATGTCTATCATTAAATACTTTAGTTTTCTATAAAAGATAAGTATAGGTTGCTTTTTCATAATAATGGGTTATGTAAAATTCTGTTACCGTATCAGTACATGTAAGATAAACCCTTTTTTTTTTAATTTGTGAATATTACCATAACAACCAAATGATTTACTAACTAGAAGCATCCAGTTATTCCAATCCTATCTGATCAGAACATCTAGATCTCAAAAACCAGCAGAACAACTACACCACTCTAATTACACCGTCTTTGTACCAAAACTGGATAGTTTCTAGCTCTCCTAGAACCTGCTAACATACTAGTTCTCTCCCTAAGCTCTTTTTGTATTTGTGTCACTATAAAAGCACTATTTACATTTATCTTCCTGAAAAGTTTCCAATTCCGAGCTTGCCACGTATAATAGATCATGGCTCCAAGTATTGTTGCTGCTACTTCTTTCCTAAACTGGCTCCAATGCCTATTCTTGATCCATTGTAAGCTTCTGTTAACAGTCTGCGATGGAATAGGTATTCCTGACCAATTGATCATTGCTTCCCTTACGTTATTTATCCATTTACAGTCTACAAATAAATGCTGATGAGTTTCAGGAGCAACCTGATAACATAACAGGCAATTGGTATCTCCATTTATAGGTATATTCAGTCTCACCAGTCTTTCTTTGGTCAGTAGCTTGTCCTGGATTGTTAGCCAAGTGATCACTCTTTGTCTAGGCAGCATCACAACACTCCAAATCAGCACTGCTTTCCTCAACCTAGTCATATTTCCCATCAACGCCATGGCGCTGCTTGACATTGAGTACATGCCACTAGCATCAGTTGATAGACACCTCTACTATACCATTGTGCCATATGCTCCTTTAGAGCATTCAATTTTTTCCAATACCAACTGCAATCCTGCGGAGGCTGATGATCCCAGATATTTCGACATGTCTTCATATAAACTCATTTACGCACTTCACCCATAGGACATCTTTCTTGGTTGCCACCTGCCATAACAGTTTCCCAACTGAAGTGATATTCCACTGCTTACATTCTTTAATGTTCAAAGTGTTAGGTGTTTGCCATAATTTTCTTACCATATTTGGTTTTCCTATTTGTTGAAGGAAACGGCAATATAATTACCTTAATTGGGTTTTCCTTTTTATAGAAGGAAATTATAATTCTCCTATACTTGGCTAGTCCTTTTTCTTGTAGGAAAAGGTTTGGAGTTCTATAAATTGAAGATCCGTCCTTCTCATTCAGTAGCATCCACAATGTAGTCATAGGGATTTGAGAGTAGTATTTAGGAGGAGAACTTTACGGGACAAGTGTTAGTGTGTCACTTGTGTTTGCCTCTTCGTGAGGTTGTTCTCTCGATATTTTGTATTCTCTTTTTATATAGTGGATTGCTCATCTCCGCGGTGGACGTAGGTTAGTTGACCGAACCACGTTAAATGTTTGTGTCTCTTTTGTATATTTCTCCTTTGTTATATGATTTATCGTCGTTCAAGGTTTACTTTGCTAGATTCCGCATGACACCTGATTATTTCGGTCCTAACACAATCCCCCATATTTCTTAGGCATACAGACCCTTTGCCATGCGACAAGGGATAACTTTCTTTGGCCTACAGAGTCTTCCCACACGTATCCTCTGCATATCCTGTCAATATTCTTGACCACTCTATGGCAAGATGAAAACAGCTCCCCAGAAATTATAAATAGAGAAGAGAAAAGCATTGATAACTTGTATTCTGCCAGCATAAGAGAGTAATTTGGAGTAACCACATCTTATTTTTTTCGGTGATTTTGTCCACCGGTGCATGGCATTGCACGTTGTTCCATTTCTTAGAGGAGAGAGGCAAACCTAGGTATCTTATAGGCAGTGAGAATAAAGAAAATACTGTGCTGCTTAGCATCCTCTGCCGGTTATCCTCGTCAACACCTGCCAAGAATATGTTAGATTTTTCCAGGTTAGCTACAAGCCTAGGCATCAAATCATCAACAAAGATCGGATGTGTTAGTTTGGTTGCTTTGCACATTAGATGACAATGGAAGTCAGGCAGCTCACTCATCTTGCCAAGAGCTCCAGTCAAGTATTCCATCACAAGAACAAATAGCAAGGGTGACATGTGAACAAAGGGGTCCTCTCTCCCCTTTAAAATAACCATATCCCTTCCCACTATAAACCCATTATTAAAAGCATCATTATTATACTTTATTTCCTCTACTCTTATCTGTAATTTATTGTTACCCTGTTTGGTATGTTTTGTTTGGGGTCTCTAATCCTTATGAATTAACTTTTAGCTATTCATAGGGTTAAAAATGTTTTTATATATACTGTAATTTTTCCAACTTCAAAAGATTCTTTCCCCGTCTTTTTCAATTTATCAACGTACAATCGTACTTAAAGTATTTAATTACATACCACTGGTTTTTACTGATTTGATTGTGTAAATATAACTAGTATGTAAAACTGCCACTGAATAAAACTTGATGTATTTTTCTGAATTATCCTAGCTCTATCATGATTCATGTGCTAGAATCGTAGTTCCCTGGAAACAATGGTGAAATTCTTGGTGAGGGTGTTAAGCCATATGACCATGTGCTAGAGTCATATTTCTATTTGTTAGGGATACAGTAAATATGCTCTATATCCAATATCATATTTGATGATTTGAACATATTTTTGTGAACGTTATTTGATATAAAATATATATGGCAATTTGATATTCTTTTATCATTATTATTAATTCTTGAGAAGAAAAACCACTTTGTGAAAGTGAGAGTGCAACACAAGCCAAGAGAGAAAATACAATTACAAGAAAAGTGTTTCTTGTTCTTCTAATATTGAGTTGAGATTTTTGAGAAAAATTTCAACACAATATTTTGTTCAATTTTTTCGCGGGTTTCATTGATCAAAGAGTTGATAGCAAGGGTCGATCTCGGTGTGGATACGCATAGAGTGTTCGCAATATCGAAGAATTTGAAACGAGACTTTCTTAACCAGGTACACCTTAAATCCGATCTATTGACATGTAAATAAATTTTAAACACGAAAAGATCTGCCTACGATTGTTATTGTCTTCCGCTGCGTGTTACGAACTCCTATATGCAATCCTTCAGTAGTATCAGAGCCGTGGTTTGTTGTGTCTAAAATTTATTTACGAAATATTTTAATATTATAGTTGAAGAGTTCAAACCATAATACATGTGTCTTGTGCAATAGTCAAATCGTTTGAATGCTGATATTATTTTATTGTGGATAAAATATGTATTCATATAACTATTGAGATAGTTCATAACTTGAATTTGAAATTTTATATTAGATTCGACGGGAATCTATAATAGATTATATGATTCTATTATTATTTTTAATTGTTATTAGTTCATGAGATGTTAATTAATAATGATATTCTAGCATGAATTACTTTTTGCGATATATGTGATATATAGATTAAACATGTTAGAAGAATGTTGAATTTTGTTTTTATGTCACGTGCTTGTTCGTTATATAATTTTGAATTATTTATTACATGTGATGTAAATCAATTTAGGACTAAGCATGTAGACAACTTGAACTAAATTCACATGATATAAAGATTTGATCTTCATGTTATTAAAAGTTGTTTTAGTAACAATTCCCTCTTACTAAAATTTGGGTTTTTAAATAATAAAATATTAGATATTTTATTTTAGAGCTATCCATCAAAGTAAATAATTTTACTTATTTTTTGTTTATAAGGAGAGGCCTGACTACCAGGAGACTTATAGCTCGAGAATATGTTAAAATTATTTATTGCATTAAATGCATGGATTGAAAGAATTATTCAATTTTTTACTAGACGCCTGGACTACCCGGGGAGTATAAAATTTAATAAGTTCTTTGCTATCATGATGGTTGAACTCAACTATGTCAATAGGATCGACCTGACTACCAGGGGACTATTTGACATAGAGCTATTTAAGGAAATTTTATGGGGATACAATTGGTAAGAGTACCTACCTTTAAAATATATGTGAGAAACGACTTGACTTCCAAGGGGCTCATACATATTGTTAAAGGATTCTTTTACTCCACTAACAGAAATAAAGATTTCGTAAACTATAATGAGGGTAAATAGTTTAAAATAATTAGTGGAAATATCATTTAGATAAAAGTCCATGTCTTTATAATATATGCAAATATGTTCTTATATCATTGCCTTTTCTTTTCTATATTTTAGATTTCTCAATATGTCTATTATATCACTGCGTGAAATACTTTAGACCAACAAGTTGGAAGGACCAAATTTTAATGACTAGTATAGAAATTTGAGAATTGTTCTCATGCATGAAAAGCTCATTGATGTGATCGATAAGCCTGCAAAGATTCTGTTACGACCCAAACCGAAGAGCCGCGATGGGCACCCGGTACCTTACTCAACCGAGTACCAACGTAACATATCTTTCTTATCATTCTATCATGAGTAAATGAGGCAGAAACCTCGTCATGAGATAACAAGAATAAAACATAAGGGAATACTCAACATATGACGACCCAACATGATATCCAAACTTATACATGTGATATACAGGCCTATAAGACCGACATGACCATTTGTAAATTCAAAACATAGGCCGACAAGGCCATACAAGTATCTATACACCTAACATATGTCTACAAGCCTCTAACAGTACATAAAATCATAAAGGTCGGGACAGGGCCCCGCCATACCAAGCAATACATATGCAAAGCATACTGACCAAATAGGCAACTCCGGAGCAAGTGGAATGCACCAACACTTCTGCTGAGCTGATAGCATACTAGGAGGACTATCAACCTATCACTTGGGACATGCGGGCATGAAACGCAGCGTCCCCAGGCAAAAGGGACGTCAGTACGAATAAAGTACCGAGTATGTAAGGCAGGAAAACGTAAATAAGAACAGTAATGTAAATAGAGATAAAGGAGATATAACCTGTAACATCTGAGTGCGTCCGAGGGCTACTGACATGAAATGCATGAT